ATACATACCATTCCACCTCCTCGTACAAAATCGGGCATCATCTCACAAGCCCAAATATATTTAGAAAAAAAAATAGTAAATCATCTTTTTAAAGTAAATAACAAAAAATAATGACACAAAATTGTATATGTACCTGAAAAGGCATTAGAAACCCATGAATGTTCAACTGAATATCACACCCCTCATCTGGAGCACTTATACCATCGAGACAATGGTATAAACGCTGAAAGCTAAATGTGCCCCATGGAAATTTGCCGAACATGTCTGCATTTTCAACTAACGTCCAAAGCCAAAGTGGCACAGCGGACCTCGGGCCGGGTGCAAATAAGAAAAAGTGAACAATCAAGATCATGGCAGCCTTCAGCGCGTCATCGGGATTATTCTGAAAATCACCATTCGTGAAATCCCTCAACAAATCACCTCCTATCACACTCTTTCCATCATAGTGGCGTCGATATATCCCATCAATGGCCGGTAAGCTCTCATTATCCTCGGGGATAAATTCCGACCCACCAAATTTCAAGCCACTGATTTGGCAAAATTCGACTTTCCCGAATTTATAATTATTATCTCTAATTCGAAACCAACGCTCCTTCTCTCGAGCGTCACGCACAAAAACCTCTCGACCCAATAAGGCAAGTAGTAGCCTCCCACTGTAGTATGCTTGCCCATCAAACCTCAACAAATGTCCAAAACAAGACTCTTCAAACTCCCGAAGACGGCCACAAGCACCTAATTGCTTCTTAATATAGTCTATTACTTTAGGCTTTGTCTGACAGTTAATTTTACCGCTCCAAGTACAAGCTTTGCCCCATCTCCAACTCCAACAATCCCCCTAACAATCATGAAACAATCAATATTATTTTAATTTTTTTTAAAAACACAACAAACAAGGTTTCTAGACAACAAACTGGTTTCTTGCCAAGTTTCTTGGCAAGAAACTGGTTTCTTGGCAAGAAACTGGTTTCTTGCCAGTTTCTTGCCAAGAAACCTGGCAAGAAACCAGTTTCTTGACAACAAAC